TAGCGCTGAGGTGAGGTTCGCGCGATTGATAACCGCACGCGGGGACAGCGCTTCACGACAATGCCGAGTGCGCTTCGCCAACATCGCCACATCACATCACGCTCACGTGCGTAATCACAGTATTCACTAGACTCTGCCCCACAGGCATCGTCAGAACAACAATCACTTTTGCCCATTGCTGCCCCCCCAACCTCCTTATCACACGCAGGGTGGTCGTATAGGTATAGGTATAGGTATATATATATATATATATACGCTACCAAGCCTTCGCGTTTCCTTGCTGTGCCTTCGGTCCTCTCCTTCGCCCCCGTGCTTCCCCTTACCCTGCGTTCTCGTTTATTCCTCTGCTGTTTTGTTTGTTCCACCCGCGTTCGCCCCTCGTCCTTTCTTCGTCCTATCGTTGGTGGTGGTGGGCCCCCTACGTTGTTCGTTTTCTCCCGGCGTCATTCAGTGGCTCACGGACGACTTTGTCAGCAGTGGGAGGGTGATGAGGTGGAGTAGGGAGGCAATTTTAGGCCGCGCGCACCCGCGCGCACTCATGCGCTCGCGCGCGCACAGTGACATGAACTCGAATGCAAGCGTAACCGCAAACGTACAAGGAAAACACGAGGACGCACACACACACACACACACTTGCGTACCAACTCTCATCGCAATCGTGAGAGTGAGCGAGTTGGGTTCCATTTTTTAGAAATGGATCATACAGACAAGTGGGTGGGAATGACCAGGGTTCTGTAGCGGCTAATGGCTCGATAATGGTAGGTGGAAGGGGAGGTGTCGTGAGAGATACGCATGCGCGGCGGGCAGGGTTGATGAAGTAGTGTGAAGCGCACAGTAGGTGCTGAGCAGCAAGTTGGGGGACCAGAGCAGCGACGGGACGAACGCGAGTGGTCGTATGCACTGCCAAATGCCTCCCGTGGTTTTCCTGGGTGCACTGTGGGGCGCCCAGCTGTGAGCAGCGTCGCGCGCGTCATGGGAGGGGGTGCCGGGAGCAACGTGCGCAGTGAGCGGCGAGGCGTGCGCAGCCGAGGGTAGTGCGCAGCGAGCGGGGTGTGCCGGCGGCGAAGTGAGGGGCGTGGGCGCTTCGCCGCGGGCACCCAAGCACGGATCGAGGCGCTCTTCCTCCTCCTCCTCCTCCTCCTCCTCCTCCTCCTCCTCCTCCTCCTCTTCCTCCTTTCTTCTCTTCCTCCTCGTGCACGTCCTCCTCCTCCTCCTCCTCGTGCCCCTTCGCCGTAGCTATTCTGGCTCAAGCTATTTTGTGGCGCCCTGCGAAACAAGTCGATACCAATAGTCCGCGGCCAGTTTTCAGTTCTTACGCCCGTCGACGGGACTCTCCTTCGCCCCCTCGAGCTTCGCGCGGTGGGAAGCACAGCTCGGCCCTCCCGCCAGCCGATGGTTCCGCCGCCGCAGGGGTATGTCCGTTGCGGCAGGTGCCTACAAGTGGACTTGGAAGGGGAGCGAGCGTTGCTGCCACTGTGACAATGACAAGTCCCTGGAAATTCTTCCGTGGGTCAAGAAGCGTGAGGCCGAGGGTGTGTACTCGTGTCCAAAGTACGGCACTGGCGGAGTTGAATGACGGTTGGCAAGAGTGGGGTCGTTGACCCCGCTCTCGCCGCCGTCGCAGGACAGCGGTCACCAGCGAGTCTGCCGAAGTTTCTCCGACGCCTCCGGAGCTGCTTTCTGCTCTTCAAGAGGCGGCCCCGCACATCGACAAGTCTGCCATTGAGGGTATCAAGCAGCTCCTCCTGTGCGTGCGGCCCCGAAGGCGCCTGACGCCAGCCAGGAGTACCAGCAAAGGGCTGCGGCGCAGAAGCGGGCCAAGGCGGCGCTGGACAAGCTCGTCGAGAGCGAACGCAAGTCCGACGTGTGGTACCTGGAGAAGAAGGCCGCTGTGGAGGAGGCGGCTCGGGAGCTCGCTCAGGCGCAGCAGGGTGCTGAGGAGGCGCTGGTGGCTCTCCAGGAGGAGCGCGGGCGCCCGCAGCAGCAGTCGGCGGCGAAGGCGTTCAACCTCACCACGTTGCTCGAGAGTGAGGGCGACGTCCCCTTCGATTCAGGCCCCGCCTTCGACTTCAACGACTTCGAAGTCGAGTCCGCGGAGCTCGAGGCGTTCGAGCGGCTCCTCCACTCTCGGTTTGCTGAGGAGCTCAGGGCCAAGGTCAAGGAGCTCTTCGGTGGCTCGGCCGCGGCCCTGGGCCAGTCCAGGGAGGAGGCCAAGCAGATGCAGGAGCGGCGGCGGAGCAAGCGTCAGCGACGAGAGGATCGACAGAGCGACACCGTCATGGACGCGACACCTGTTGGGGCGCCTGGGCCAGCGGGCAACCGCCCTGCGAACTCGCCGCAGCAGCCCGCGTCCTCGCCCGCGCCCGAGGTCCCCAATGGCTCGACGGGCTCAAGCGCGGCGGGTGCGACGCAGGTTTGGAGCGCCCCTGCTGATCCTGCTGCTCGTGGCCGCGCGGGCAGGGTAGTCCTCCAAGCGCCAGCGGCCTGCTGGGGCAGGGCAGCAGCTCTGAAAATGATGTGCGCACGGTGTGGGCATGGCGCGGCGGATGTCTTGGGCTCGGGCCCCAAGGTGGCGGTTCACAAGACCTCAGGGGCCAGCGCGAGCTGCCCCTGGCGTGGGAAGGATGGCTTTGCCGCGCGAGCGGGCCGCCAGAGCCGCGAACGCAGCGAGGGGCACGGTCGGGGGGCCTCGCCGTGGCGGGGGGGGCCGCTGGCATCACGACCGCGTCGTTCGCAGGCGGCATCTGCCAGACTATGCAGTGCCGTGGGCTGGCAGGCAGCACCATGGGCTGGCAGGCTTCTACCATCCTGTTCTGCAAGTGCGACCCGGCTGGGCGCGGAGGGATTCAGCCCCTCGAAGTCGCAGCGCCCGGCCCGCGCGATCGATGGCTCCGGCCAGCCCCGGCCGCTGAGGAGTCGGGTCGAGGATAACCTGGAGCAGTTGAAGGACCCAGACCAGTACAAGTTCGGCTCGATCGGCTACGATGACGAGGTGAATGCGCAGTCTTGCTCGGTGGCGGCGGCCCCCTCTTCCTCAGTGGCGTCGTCGGCCTCGGCTTCCAGGGCGGCTGGGTCTTCGCCGCCTGGCGTTGGCTCGCAAACTCCCGAGCCAGTCCTTGGGTTCCGTCGCCGATCCTTTTGCCGAGAATGCAAATCCCGATCTAGGGGCGCTGACTCGGGTTCAGTCGCCGCCGTTCTTGCTGGCGGGGCGCCGGGTGAGGCCAACGTCCGGGGGGTGCTCGGCGACGGTGCCGACGGCGGGCCCTCTCGCCCTGATCCTGTATCTTGTGAAGGCATGCTGGGGCCCCGCCTGCGTCGCGAGCTCCTGTTAGGTCAGGCCACGCGGGTGCCATCGGACAACGCGAGTGGCGCGGTGAAGGGTGAGGGGCTCGTTGAGGGGCGGCGCTGGCCGACGTCGTGGCGGACTCCGAAGGCCCCGCGGCGCAGGCCGAGGGCGGCGACGTGCTGGCGGCGGGGGGGGTCACGGCCCGCCCGGCGGCCTCGGCGTCGTCCGCGCGGATGGGGTGGCACCAAGGTGTCCGCGGGCCGCCGGCCCCGACGGGGGGCCTGCCAGGTGCTCGCAGTCCACCATCTTGTGCGGCGGCGTCGCAGAGTGGAGGCCCGGGCATTTTTTTTTTGGGGGGGGGAACGTGTTTTTTGTTTTTGGCGCGGTCGGGGGGTGCAGCGCGACGTGGCGCGCGTCGTGGAGATGCGCCCCGAGGCCCCCGCGGCCCCGCAGTTGCAGCAGGAGGTGGCAGAAGATGGACGGGCGGCCGTGGTCGCGCCATTAGCGCATTCAGTAAAGTCAGCGTCAGGTTCCCGTTGAGGGGGGGCGATCTTCGTTCCCAGTCACCTTGCAGCCAGCTCCTGGGAGCGAGATGTAACTTCCTCCAAGTGCGTGGGTTTCTGTCCCGTCGCGCTACGCCTGCAGCGAGGGGGCCTTGGTGGTAATTGCGACATATTTGTTCCCTGCCGACAAGTTGAGTGGATCCGGCGCGGCCAGGTTTCGCTCCCTTCGCGGGTTCGCGCGCTCTCTGTCGGGCCCCTGGATCATCGTCGGTGACTGGGGCGTTGTGCCGCCTGTCGTGGACAGGTCGGGGCTGCTGAGCGCGCTGGGCGGCATGATCGTGGTCCCTAGTGCGGGGGTCGCGCGTGCGACATCGGCTGGTTCTTCGCTCGTCGACTACGCGGTCGCCGAGAGGGGGCGCGAGGGGCATGTCGCCATCCGCGCTCAGGACCTGGTTCCGTGGAAGACGCGCGCGGGGTCAGAGCTGGAGACTTCCAGTGGGCGCAAAGCGCGGCGGCGCCAAGTCCTCGCGTCCCCGCGGGCGCTGCTCGCGAGGCCGCGCCCCCGGCGCCGGGCGCGGGAGGGCAGCGAGCGCTCGCGCGGGCTCGCCGAGCAGCGGGCCCGCTGTCGCGATGATAATTATGGGCCCTCGACCGCGCGAGGCCTGCGATGACTTGGCGGAGGACCAGGTCGCGACGTTTTATATCGAGCCAGACGAGTGGAAGATGGCCGCCGGCGTGGTTGGGGTCAGAGAGGCCTGACGCACCTGGGGCGGTAGCGAAGCGTGGGCCGTGCCGGCGGGCAACGGTTTCAGTGCAGTCTTGCAGCTCCGCGCTACCTAGGTGAGCGCAGTGGGGGAGACGGGTCTGCGAGTCGAGCTTGCGGGCGAGTCTACGAGTTCCCGCTGTCGAGGTCGCGCCGAGGTCCCGCGGCTGAGTCGGGCGCGCCTCGAGCCGTCGCCTGGGCGCGCGCGCGTTCGAGCCCCGGCTGCTGAGTGGCGGCGCGCGGTTGACGCTGCGTTAAGTTGCCGGCGCTCAGGCGGCGCGGCAGAGACGAGATGCAGCAGTCGACGACGTGAGAGACCATCGAGAGGATGCCAACGGACTGCCTGCACCAGCCGCGCGATCTGATGTTCGGGCGCAAGTTCTCGTCTGAGCAGGCGGGCGCTTGACGGTCGCTGCTGCGGCGGGCTGCCGCGGCGGGCTCCGACGAGGAGGACTTCGACGCCGCTGTCCAGCAGACGCAGTGCTGGGCGCTGCGGGCCGTCTCCCGCAGCCTGGCGGCCGCGGGGCAGGCTTTCGTCGACTGGGCGCAGGGGTTCTGGAAGAAGCCCCCTGGTGCTGTCCATCGACATGCCGAGGGGCTGATGCCTGATGCTGGTCGCATCGAGAATCCATGTATCACCGTGGCGGAGAAGGTTGAGCGATGGGGCCCTCGCTGGCGCGATGATGCATGCTCGCGGAGCGACCCCCTACAGGGGATGGCGGTTCTGCGTCTACCTGATGATGGCCGACACCAGTGCGTTGATGTCCTGCTTGAGGTGGGGGGGCTCGGCACTTGGCCCGAGCAGATTATTGTGGCGTCGTGCTGCGCCATCCCCGAGCCCGCGGGAGGCGACGGGGTGATCGGGCTGCTTGCGCTTGTAGCTGCAGTGTGTTCGCGGGCTCGAGCCTGTCTCGCGGACCGTTGGTCGCAGGAGCTTGGCCCGCAGTATGGCGTCGTGGCGAGGGATAGTTTTGCTCTTCGTGCTGCTTTAGTTCGTGCAGTGATGGATGAGAGTGCAGTGGCGCGCGGTTTCGCCTGAGCTTCCATCCTGTTAGGCCTTGATATCGATGTCACTGTGATTTTGTTGGAGCCCATGGAGGCCTCGATGGCCCTAGGTTCCCCCCCTGGTCACTTTCCTGGAGGTTAGCTTTTTTCTGGCCCCGAGGGTGCTCGCATCCAGGGCCACTGCAGCGGATTTCTATTTCTTGACCGCTCGATTGGCGGGTTCAAGGCACGGCGTGGAAGTTGCCGAGGTTTTCCTGGGGCGGATTCTCTAGGCTGCTCACGACAGGGGGAATCGCCGCGAGGCGCCGCCGATCGGGCTTTGGACGCTCGTGGACGACGCGGTCGTTCGCAGCAAGACGTCTGTCCGACAGCAGTTGAATTCCGTTGGGGCCCAGTTGCGTGCCTCTTTTGTGGATGCTCAGCTGCCGATTTCGGACAAGACGAAGTTGAACTCAGCTTTGCCTGTCTTAGGTAAGCCATTATTCAGCGATTTAGGTAAAGTCGGCCTGCTATTTTCCTGGGTGTCGTGTGCAGTTGATCTCGGATGTGATCCGGTTTGCGGAGCTAGGAGAGTTGATCGTAAGTTGCGACACCGTCAGTCGAAGGGCGGTGGGCGAGCGCGCCGAGTTTTTCGGATCTGCAAGCATGCCCGTGTCTTTGATTTCCGGATGCCTGTTTTTGCAAGGTCGCATGGGTTTGCCGCCCACCGCGATCACCGTGTTGCGGAGGCAGGCTGCGGCGTCGGTGGCGGGGAAGGACCCAGGCACGAGCTCGACGACGCTGGCCTTGTGGCCGGGAGAAAAAGATCCTGCGATCTCCCTGCGTGAGCAGTTGTTGGTTGCGTGCTTCGGTATGTGGACAGCGACCCAAGCGATCCGTGCTAATAGGGCAGTCTTGGAGGCATGTCAGGGTGCGTCTTGGGCAGAGGCCTGACCTCTGGTAGCGGCGTGTCCGAGGCGCCATCGGAACCGTCCAGGCCACTCTGCTTGGGTGGCTTCCGATCTCTGCGACTAAGTCGGGAAGGCCCTTCCGATGCGATTGGGGGGCCTGGAGGTTTCCCGGCCCATCCCCAGAGGAACGCACGGACGCTGATGTTATGGATTTCTCGGAGCCGCTGGAGGATGCCCGCGATGACATCGCGGCGTCGCTCTGGGCCGAGGCTTCGTTGCACCCGTGAGGGGAGCTCCTCGCCAATGAAACAGATGTGCTTCCGTCTTGTCCTCATGAAGGCTGTTCGCGCAGGCTCTCGTGATGAGGTGGGCCAGACCGTCATTGCAGTGTCGGGGGTCAGTGGCTTCAGCGGCGACAGGTCGATGCGGGGTGCAATGCCTCGCCTCTCTGCCCGCGCTGCGGCGCGGCCCCCGAAACTCTTTTTCGCCGTGCGTGGTCCTACCCGTCAAACAAAGGCGCGGCCTTCGAGGCCTCGGAGTTTCTTTCCTGCGGGCCCAGGCGGGCCACGAGCGAACGCTCTCGCTGCGGCTGCGGGGCCTCCCCCCCCTCCCCCCCTACTCCTGTCCTTTCGGACGGGGTGGGGTCGAGGGTTAATTTGACGGTGGTGTGTGTGTGTGTGTGTGTGTGCTGGCTGGTGGGTGCGTGGGTGGGTGGTGGTGGTGGGGGGGCGACGGCGGCGACTCTGAGCAGCCTCTGGATGCGGAGGCGGTGGCGAGGTGCTGGTGCGATGGCTCGTCACTGGTCGTCTCCGTAAACGGTTCGGGAGGACAGTGCAGTAGCGACGCCCGCAGGCGTCGAGTCGGATCTGCCGCGGTCGCGATGGCAGAGACCCCCGGCGAACTGCGCGGGGTTGGTGGCGCGGTCTGCGGCCTCGACGGCAGACGGCAGACTGCGCCGAGAGCCGAACTGCGGGCTTTCGCTCTTGCCTTCTCTTCTTTCGAGGGGCCGCTCCTGTAAGTCGCCGACTGTGCCATGCTTCTCCGCGGCTGGGGGCGCGAACTCCATGCCAGATGCGACCTTGTAGGCGGGAGTGCTGATATGTAGAGGTTCATCCGTGCGTCCTGGGTCGATCGCCCACGCGAGGTGCGCGTGGTGTGGGCCCCCGGCCATGTAGACTCGGAGGCGCCTGGCCTGTCCGATTAGGGCCGCAGGCTGGCCCTTGGCAGCGGAGCGGCCGATGCTTTTGCCAACGATGCCGCCCGCAGAGCATGGTCACTGGCGCTTGTCGGGCGTGCGCCCGGCACAGATGTTTGGGATTGTGCGGCAGCGCTGGGCAGACGCCGTGCGTGCCAAGCCTTCGTGGAGGTCACGGCGGCTGTTCCTTGGACAGCGGAGCTGTTTGAGGTCCCGCGAGTTCCTTCGGTGCCCGCGCTTCAGCCAGCTCTAGGGGCATCCTCGCACTGTTCTGTCAGGGCGGCCCGACATTGGGCATGCGCCCTTTGCCATCGGATCGCTCTTGGATCCGAGCTGGTCGATGCTTGTGCCTCGTCGTGTCTTGCGTCTGGAGGCGCGCCAGAGGACCATCAGGCCGACGTCTTTCGTGAGGCGGGGGACTGGTGTGGGTGGGGGGACGGCAGCTGGACTCTTCGCACTTTCTGCACTTGTAGCCACGCCACAGCCTCGCCTTTTGCAGTCGTTGCGGTTGCATGGTCACCGCCGACCCTCGACACCTGGTCGGCACGTGCGACGAGCCGTCGCGCAAGGGACGCGATAACCCGGCGCGGATCCGCAAGGGTCTGCACCCAGGCAGGTGGGTGCCAACAGCGGCGGCAAAATGTGACTTGGGGAGGGTGCGGAGAGCAGGGGCTCAGGCGTACCCCCCAGTCGAGGTGAGGCCCCGCCCTTGGGCATTGTCCTAGGTAGGCTCCCACCTTTTGTGGGTGTCAGGACAATCCGAGGATACTCCTCCTCCTCCTCCTCCTCCTCCTCGTGCTCTTCTTCGTGCTCCTCCTCCTCCTCCTCCTCTTCCTCCTCCTCCTCCTCCTCCTCCTCCTCCTCGAGGCTCCTCCTCCTCGTCCTCTTCCTCCTCCTCCTCCTCCTCGTGCTCCTCCTTCTCCTCCGCGTGCTCCTCCTCCTTCCGCATCGCCGAGCACGGATCAACGACGGGCTCCGCTGCCGTGCAGGATCGGCGCGCCCCGTCGCCAGTTTTCGGGGGCGCCTCTCCCCGATCCGTGTTCGTGTGTGCGCGGGCGCCGCGGGGAATGCGTCATCGGCGGGGTGCGAGGGGTCGGCGACTGCACTGGGTCTGGTTAACGCCGGGGTGTGGCTTGCGATCGGCACCGTCGGGGCCTGGCGGGCACGACCCCGTCCTCGTCGGGCTTCCTCGGGGCGCGGTGGAGAGCCCTGTCGGGGTCTTCGCCCGCCCCCCAGGGTGCCCCATCTGGGTGCCGGTTGCAAGCCACACCCTTTGCAAACCACACCCTTTCGGAGTCGTCGAAGGGGGGGAAGCGAGAAGGAGGAGGCCTGCTGGGAGGGCGGCGGTACGTCTCAGAAGCCCTCGCGCGCTTCCGAGGAGTGCCTTTTGTGTATCTTCGGGGAAGGCCTCACACACTTCTCAGAAGGCCAGGGGGCTTCCGAGCCTTCGAGAAGGCCCGCCGCTTCTCACTCCCCCTCGCGCTCGCCGCCAGGTGTGGGGACATAGTAGCGGCGATACGTACGTAATCAGTGCGCGCCGAGACTCGTTCGGTAGCAAATCAGGGAAGCCTGGTATACCCTCCTACTTCCGTCTTTGGCGTCGACTTTCGTCGATTAGCGTTTGGGAATCGACGATGTGTGCCGATTGAGAGTCGGCTAGCGTCAATTAGCGTCGATTTGGCGTCGATTAGCGTCGACTAGCGTCGATTAGCGTCGATTCGCAAGAGCCGAGGTGCTCCCACGAGTTGCCACCGAAGACTCGTGCCAGTACTTCCTGCGCCTCGGGGGTGGCGGGCCGTGGGGTGGCGGGCCGTGGAGGTCCCCGGAGACCTCCTGCGGTCTTCTCCAGAGGCCCCCGCGAGGCCCCCAGATGTTCTCTCTTCGGCAGTGGGCGAGGGGGGGGGGAGTGAGACTGGGAAGGCCTTCTCAGCAGGCGGCGGGGCTTCTCAGAAGGTCTCGCGCCTTCCGATCCTTTTTCTGTATCTTCGGGTGGGGCTTTGAAAACTTCTGAGAAGGCCTCGTGACTTCAGAGCCTTCTGAGAAGTCCTTCTCCTTCTCACTCCCCCCCGGGCTCGCCGCCGATCTTTGGAGGTCTCCGCGGAGGACACCAGGCCTCCAGAGGCACAAAGAGGGGCAACACACTCAACTTTCCCCGATGTCTGACGCTGTGAAAACAGAGTGCCGCATCGCGAAGCAGCATGAGCGGAGCCACAAGACCCAGTCTTCTTGCGGCACTCTCTTCGAGACGGACCGATCTGCGGTGGTCCCAGGCCGGGAACCAGGTGAGAGCGCTCGGTTCGGGGCTCAAGAGACAGGGGTCAGTGCAAATGCGGAGCAGCCAGAGCGGCCAAGGCCAGGGTCGCATTGACCCGGGTTTGGGTGCAGGATTTTGCAGGATCTTGCAAGATTCTGCAAGGCCTGACTGACCCGGGTCTGCATTGACCGGGGTCAGCGCGGGGATCTCAGGGCCACGGTCTTTCGGTAGCAAATCATGGGAGTTTTGTGTACCCTCGCAATTCTGTCTTTAGCGTCGGTTAGCGTCGACCTAGCGTCTGGGAGTCG